CAGGAATAGAGATGAGCTGGTGCTTCTGAGGAGAAAAAAACAAAACAAAACAAAAAAACCACACCACAAACAAAACCATGCCCTCCATTAACAAAGTCCAACTTTTACTTTAGGAGCATGCTGCAAGATAGGAAAATTTATTTTGTGTACTTATAAGAGCATAAACCAGAATAAAATTAAATATTTATTAGAATTTTTTTAAACAACAGCATTCAACATCTTAACAAACCAAGTTGTGAAGTCTTCAAAAAAATTTAGTATTACCAAAGAAGTTAAAATAAGTGGTTCTTTACATTTAATGGCAACAAAAGGGGCATTTTCTATTTAAAAACAAATTTGTCATACAAACAGTATTATTTTAAGAAAATGTGATTAACATGATGTGTAATTTTCAGAATGGATACACAGTGCATGAATGCCAATCTGAATTGAGGGACAGAACACACTATCCCCTTAAAAATCTCCAAATAGGCTGCTTGAAGAGAGGGGAGGGAGTGAAATAACTTAGAGGATACCACACAATGGACAAAAAAAATGCAAGAGTAAAGAAGGCATTACAAGACACCCTTATTACAATACCCTCTCAAGTCTGGTTATACAGTAATTAAAGTGCATCTTTTAAAGACGTGAAACAGCTTTTCAAAATATAAAACACAACACAAGACGTGCAGTGACAGTTAAATTATAGTGTAAGTTTTTAAAAACTAATCTTTAACTTTTCATTCATTAAAGAAGAAAAGTTACAACTGCAGTAGTGTTCACATTCTTCAGTAGGATGCATCCTCATGTGCTTTTGTTACTTGGCAAATCTTTCAATATGGAGCATGGTAAAATTATGCAGTTTAAGCAAGTGCTTCTCTCAGTGTAACACAATTCTTCAATGGCAGAATGGCCACATGCAGCACAATCATGTTAGATTTTGGGAAGCTTTGGTGCACTAACGACGGGATTGGTCTCCTGCAAATACCTTCGCCCTGCACTCTTATAGTCGTAGGTGCAGGTGTGAGTCTCTGCATAGCGGTGCGTTGCACAGAAGTTGTTTCCACATCTGAAGAATCAAGAATATTAGAAGTTACAAGCTTTTAACTCTCTGACATGCTGGGAGCGCTTTGGCTTAATCATGTCTTGTTTATTTGAATTCTGCTTGAATTTTAATTATTCTTGATTGATAAAATTAACTGGTCAGGTAATCAAAATGACATTGTTGTCACTGAACGTTGCAGTTTTGACCCAACAGTCTCTTCAGCTGGGAAGTTAAGCAAGATCATTACTCCCGGAACTAGCTAGCAAGGATCAAACACACTTATAAATTCAGAAAGATGTGCTTTGATTTATTTCTTTTTAAAGATCACACCCTACATCAGTTGATAGAAATCAGACGACATAACCATGGCACTAAAATAATGGCTATAGGCGACACCCACATTATGCATTTAAATTCAAAACCACCACAACATTCACGTTACCAAAACAGATGTTCAGTTCAGCACAACTTCTGCCTGGCATAAACTCAAATTAGTCATTTGAGACTAATGAAGATTAATAAATACAGACTGAGTCAACTCAATCTGACAGACTAACTATAGGGAACATGACTTTCTATACGACTGGATAAGGGCACATCTTTCCAACATCAGTTGCAATTTCAATGAGTTAAGATTATGATTTTTGCCTTCAAACTTGAAAGCTCAACAGCTAAGACTCCTAACAGAAGAAAAGCCTACTTTGAAAGTTATATTTGATCTGAAGAAGTGCTTTAAGTGGAGACTGATATTAGTGTCCTGTTGCCCGATTATTTGATAAAGTTGCTTCTTGACAGCAAAATAATGACATCGCTCAAAATCAGAATTCTTTTGAAATGGATTAAGTATTACTTGTCCAACTTCCTGTCTCACTATTAGACTATAATCCTCTATTTATCTGTCTGTCTGGGTTCATAATAAACTCTGCAGCTGATCCTGAGGCTTTTTGTACCTGGTAATAAATCTGGTTTTCTTTAGTTCTTGGGCCCGTAATCACCTTCTTTCTTATGACTTTATTCTCTTATTAGGTTCATGTTCCATTCTAGTAAAATGTCATATGGTTGCTCCTTTTGAAACTAGAATGAATGCTATTCTTGGAGATGCGCGATTTCCACCCTTTTTCTGTGCTTTACTTTGAACCTTAAGCAAGGTGCTTTGTTACTTCTAGAAGAGCTTGCAGCTATTTGCTCAGCAGGATTTTGAAAGCATGCAGTTTGCAAAACTGTTTCAAAATCAAAGACTGAAGAGTCAGTACAGAGGCAGTTCCTCATCCGGAAACTCTCCAACTCTTCTTCCCTAATAGCAGAAATCTTTATTCATTTTGCTGTTGATTGGCATGAACCAAGACAAGCTTCAAACGTAGGCCTCACAGTGCAGCAGTTCCCAACCTTGACTAGCTCATGGGAAATGCTACTGAGAAAAGAATATCTTGTGGGAAACAATACTTTGAGAATCAAGACCAACAGAGAAAGCAGGTTTGTTTGTTTTTGTTTGTTTGCTTTTTTTTTTTTAATCTCCAGTGATCACCACCAAGCACTAGATCTCATTTTGTCATCTTCAAGTCATGATTTGGGGGACCAGCACTCTTGGCATTCTGCTTTTGAGGTGCTCCAGATACTCAAAGGTGACTGAGGTCTCACAAGAAATAGAACACATGTAAAAATAAAGAAGTTGCCAAATATACATTCGTATAAATTCACAAACTGTGCAGATGTGTTGTAATAGGACCAAATTGAGATTTTCCGAAAAACTGTAACAAAACCAATTTTTCCTCAAGTTGTTAACGATGTAATTACTGCTGAGAAATTTGGCTGAACAAAATTTGTAGCAAGGTCTCCCCACACCAGTACAAAATGTCATGGATTTTTTTTGTAATCATGTTCTTTATTTCCTGGTATCTTGCATTCTGATACCTTGAATTTCTTAATTTTCCTGGAGGAAGATACACCTCAACAGCAGAACAGGTACGACATTTCTGAATTTTAGTTCCTAGAGTTTTACTGAACTCAGAATTGCAACTTTTTTTGAACGCTGCTGTTTGATTTGCTACGCTTAATGAATCCCATGCAGAATACGAAACCTTTTGGTTAACCCAGCCATCAATTTTAAACAACAGCTGGGTTATGTGCTCAGCCTACCTGCACTCATAGCTGGTTGCCAATCCAGTTTTCTTGCCACAAAGAAAACAATGCTTTATAATGTTCTTTTTTGCTTGAATTGAACCATTCACAGGTGGAAGATGGGTTGCTTCACCTGCTTTCAGAGGTAGAAAGACACCAAAGACATTTTATTTTTACTTATTCCTGATCACAAACGAGTTAAATGTTATCTTCTTGAAATCCAGATTCATTTTGCATTTCTTGGGATACTTCAGGTGGGAACCCCAAAGCCTAAACAGAGAGGAAGAAACCCCAAAAGCCAAAACACACCTCAAGCCTATTAACACCTCTGGAAGAGGCAGCGCAATGTAGGACTTAGACACATTATTTTTAACACATGTTAAAAGTTGTTCTTTAACTTCTTGCTTACGTGAAATCATGAAACATTTCCTAACAGTCTTCCCAATAAAGAAAAAACACATAATGTGATTGGGAAAGCACTGCACACATTGGCTTTCCAAAGAACCAGTTGGGCATTCAAGTAGCTAGCATCTAGTATATTCACTAGATAACTCACATTTACCAAATAAATACTGCAACATTTTAAAATCTTGCTGATACTCCGCAATTGCAAGAAAAGTGCATTATTAGACTATAGGCCTGTATTTAGCCATATGGTTTCATAAGACACTTCACAGATGTTTGTAAAATTTCTGTACTTAAAAGCTTTACTTCACTTTGACTTTTTGCCCTGTTATTCTTGTCTGTTGCTTTATAACTGGAAAGAATGTAAAGAAAAGGCATCTTCCTTCTGTAGAGACAAGCTCTTCATGTACAACTTGCTCATGCAAATTTACCACACAATAGGACAGTGAAAGTGAGAAATGCATCCTCTCAAACATTCTTTCTGTGATTCTACCACTATATTGTCAGGACACTCCCAAAAAGTGACCTCATGAGTCCAGCAGTACTTTTTGTCCAGAGTACCTTTAATCCCAACAGTCATTTCCCAGCTGAGACACAGCAGGCTACATTCAGTAGTAACACCAGGCAGTCACTACACGTTGCAGTCATCACTACCAGCCAGCGCTATCCCATTGCTATCTAGCACAGAAACTTCCAGGCAATGTTTGTCCACGCTACAAATTTTGTCTGCTAAAAAGCATACTGTTTCAGGAGTATCAGTAGCCCAGGTTGTGAAAAAGATGGAGCTTGATGACAGCCCCCACTGTGGACTATAACAGAAAAAACCAATACACCTGTCTTCACATTTATGGTCCCAACAGCAATTACACATAAATTAAGGCCTTGGATAAGAAACTGAATCTGTCCTTTGGCCAGTTATACAACAGATCATCCCTCTCTCTCAAGAGCCTGCATGATAGGATATCATCAACTTTGTTTTTCTCATGCCCGGAACCTTTTGGAAAAAAACATTGTTATCTGACATAACACCGGAGGTGTCTTCTTCATAGTTGTATCCAAAATGATGCGGAGGATAGTAGACTGCCCCAGCACACAGACATGGCTATTAGGGTATCACTGCTTTCACCATGGAGCAGATAAGGACAGATTTGTTTATTAATTGACTGCCAGTTCACCCAGTTGTGAAACAAAGGCACAGTCCACTATTTTAGCAGCTTTTGCTCCCACATCATTACCATTACATCATTTTTCCCATTATGGCTGCTATTTGAATATCAATCTTCTAGCTCATTCTCTATACCTAGATCTTAAAATCCCACAATACATGCCTGCCTCTCTTTTCCTAAGATCATATCAAAAGAAAAGAAAATCTGCAAATCCCAAATCAAAGCTGTGAAGAAGAAAAGTTGATCATGCTGAGAATCTTTAGCTCACTGTCTTTAGAGTTTTAAAAGTACTCATGTCGACAATTCCATTCCTCCCAAGAGAATCAAACACGTAAGTAATTAATATTCAGGCACAACACTTCCATTTTCATCAGATGTCAAGCATTAAGCACTCCACGGTTACCAAGACCAGGGTAGAAAGAATGATGCCCATTCACAAAAAAGACAGAAAAATCTGCATAGTACCAGCAGTTTTCAGCATCCACGCCCCTATCGTTTCCTCCCCACTTTTCTTTTGCCAAATCCTTCTGGCTCAGGTTATAGACCTAAAGACAACACTACCAATAATTTTGTTCTGATTTTAGTACACTCAGAAGTATTCACTGAACTGACCTTGTGGAAACTTCAAAGCAGAAAGTCATGTTTATGTCTATGGATGGCATGCAGGATTCATTAAGTATTAAAAAAAAGCTGAAAAAGAGTCACAGTTATGTCTACCTAAGATCTGGATGACACCTGTATGTTTAAGAATTACTTAATGTATTGAAAGTTATACCATGCTATAGAAGTGTAAAACAGCAAAGACTTTGAAAGACATCTGCCTTACAAAGATAAATGATTCTTGTCCTCTATATATGTGATATGTCAGGAAAAATTAAATTCATTCCAAGCCCATGTGCAGACTAAAAAAAAAATTTCCACAAGGAAATTACTAGCAGATGGAAATCAAATTAAAAGTTAGGCAGTCTAGTATCAGCTTATTTGAAACCAACATTGTATCAACCTATGTACCTACAAAGAGTCCAAGATGACTTCTGTACAAAAAATTAAAATTCCGCAATATAAAGCCTTACTCAAAATGACTATTTAATAGTCTCCCCATACTTCACAACACACGAAATCAAAGTGTATTAGAGATCTGAAGACAGGCACATATGGTGCCAGTCACTAGGCAATCTTTGGAATAAATGACAATTAGCAAGCAGCAGGAGAAGTCAGAGAACACTTTAAACAGACACTCATTCATAAGTCTATCATTACAATAATAATTTTAGTTGTGACCTGAACAACCACTTTTCTTATGAAAAATTACTTCTAGGACCTGTTTAGATAAACAGGCAGTTAAGATACCAACAGAAATTCAGAAAACAGTTCAAGACTATCAGGGATTTAAGTACACCTCCCTCTCCCCACCTATCTTCCCTGAAAAGACACAGATACACATATGAAAGTACAGTTTTCATAACACCAGTATCACAAAAGACAGGAAAACTTCAATTTCTTTGGAAGCATTAGTACTCACTAGAATATATTCAGCAGCTTCCTTTGGAGGAGCAGTTTTCCGAAAGCCTTCTTCCTGAAAATGCTGAAGGTTTGCAGGTAGTGCAATACCAGAAGTCCGAAATCTGCCTGTCCCACAAGAACTTTGTAAACTTTCCCTGTTTGCGCTTCGGGCCAGCGAAGCCAGAAACCCTAAGTTGCTTAGAGAACTCACAGATTCTTTGGACGCCTTGTTAGCCATGTCTGTGATGTCGCTAGCCTCTGCTTTAGAAATTACATCAGGTCTTTTACTATGTGACTCGACTCTAACACTGTGAAATCTAGTACTCTTAGAAAAAGAGGAGTCTGCCATGCTACAGGCTTCCAACGATCGAAGCACATTTGGGGCGGCTGTGGATCTCAACTTACCAGCCTCAAAGCATCTGGATTGCGTTTGTGGTTTCAGAGAACTGTGGCGTGCCACTTGCGCTGAATACCGAAGAGGTGACAAAAACAGGTTTTTCTGCGGACTTAATTCACAAGTACTGAGAAGACCAGCCCCCATTGCTGCAGTGCTCAGCACTTTGCTAATAGGTTTTCTATGCTGCTCTACAACCTTAGATTCTTCATCTCCATCAGACAGTTCAAGTTCTGGGTTCACCTTTCCTATGTCATATATCTCACTACACCGTTCATTGGTGCTTGCTTCTGTTAACAAAGCAAAAGAATCTGTTTCAGGTAGAATTTTTTCTTCTGCTCCATATAGTTCTATATTTGTTCGATTCGGAAACAAAACAGCATCCTCCTCACTTGTTGAGGTCACATTTTCAGAAGCTTTTTCTGAATTCACAGGCAGAGATGAAACAGGAGTCAGAATGCTATTAGTAGGCAGTTCTGAATTTTCTAGTTCAACACGAGATATTTTTGGTGGTAACCTGATGCTACTAACTGACTGAGACCAAGAGCTGCTCTGCCAAGCATCATCTTCCTTAAGCAAGTCATTAGTTGTGGATGGTGTTGTTCTACCAGCAGTAGCCAAAGTAGCCAATGCTGAAAGTGCGTTTTGAGAAGACTCTGAGGGATATGAGCTTCCAGGAGGAGGTAGGCAAGAATGTCCAATATGGGGGAGCACTCTCAAAAAGCGGTGACGAGCAGCAGCCACTAAGCCACTAGAGGGTCGAGGAGCCATAGGAGGATGAGGTTTCACCTTGACAGTTTTCTTAGGCTATTAGAAAAAAAACCAAACACACAGAGCAAACAAAACCCACAGTATGTGAATTATGGTTTCACTCAAAGACCTGACTGAGATCATATTCCCAAGAATTCAGACAGTGTGAGGCCAGAAAGGACCAAATCATTCTTTCTACTCCCTCATCTGTTACTAGCCATCAAGACTTCACCCCAATATATGAATAAAAAAGTCAAAGATTATCATCAGAAAAGGCTTTTTAGCAAATAGGCCACATGTCAGAGGAACAGAAAAGGGAAGCTACAACGCCAAAGTTATCCAGGAGCTTTGGGTCTCAGACATGATGAAAGAAAGTACAATATCTTCCCTTTACATCTAGGTAACCCAAGACAGATATGAACACCAATATAATGTTTTATCATCTAAGTAATCTCGTTCTCACATTTAACTTTACAGGCTTTTCAGTTACAGTATTTCTTAATGAAACTTCATTAAAAGAAACACTGGTTTTTACCAGAGGAGTACTGCAAACCAACACTACTTAAAGCAGTGGAAGTAAAAAAAAAACCAAAACCTACACATATGAAAAAAAACCATCCACACAAACAAATCCAGAACGAGCAGGCAATTCTTTGGACAGGTAGATTCAAGTAAAGCCAATGCCTCAGAGCAGAACATTTAAACAACAGTATTTACTTAAACAATAGATAAGAAACCATCTACCCTTGGTTACTTCACTTCCCAACACAGCAAAGTATCTCACCTGCTTTATAGAAAAGCCAGCATTAGGAAAGTGCGTGCCATTATATGATAGAAAAATTGAAATCGTAACTTCACCTTTTTACTCAGATTCATGTTCTCCATCTTTGCCTTGAGCAGCTTCATTTTATTCATAGTAATCGAATTCTCCATAATCTGTTGGCCAGAAGGTGATGCCTCTGTCTCATCTTCATCAGCAGCATATAAGTTATAAACTGAACCACCACTGAAAATAAAAGAAAGTTTGTGTTCACCCTCCAATCAAGTAATTTAATTATGTTTTCAATGCAGAGTACTCTCACAACTAGAAAGTCATATCCGTAGTTGATCTGTTGACAAAGTATTATGTAAAACTATAGGCAAATACATTTCAAATCCATTTATTTTAGCACATAAGCATTCCTCATTAGATGTTAATGCAAAGTGATGATGCTCAAATCGGAACATAGCCACGCTTCTGGGAAGTTGTTATACCATATACAGTTGGTTCACACTCACTATACATTTTCCCCACAGAGGGGATATGCAGTTCCACAAATGTCTCCCGAAGGTATAGTCACACATTTAAGAACAAGCTGATCAGTATTCCAATTAACCAGACACTGGCATGGAAGGAAAGTCCAAATTTCTATCCATCCTGAGGGGTGTTCTCACCATAAATGGAAATGGAGGGGTCACCCATGTGGATGTGATATTCTATTTCTCCTTTTCAAAAAAAAAAAAAAAAGATCAGTATCAGTTTAGGTTTCCAAAGAGAAACAGATCAGAATTCCCTGACCAAAGACAAAATATTTTAACTCAGTAGTCACTGGAAATATATAGTATCACATTGCCTTTTTCCACTCTGTATTCTAACAGAATGCAAAAACTCAGTGTTTTAAAGTCAGTATTTGATTTGTTTTTCCTATCAAGCATTAATCACTAACACACATCCAATGTTTGACAGTGAAATGAAAAAGACATTAGGAGTGTCCAATTCATTACTAATGAACACATTTTCAAAACTGTATATAATACATTTCAAAGAGTGTTTTAATTCCTCCATTAGGCTGTCAGCATCTAGAAATTGTGACAGTCAGACAATTCCCATGTTCAAACAAATGTCTTAGCAGATTAACTAAAGCTTCTACTCTCCAAAAGAGACTAAGGAAGAAGTTAAGGTCATGAGAAAGTCAGTATCAAAAAAAAAAAAATATTTTTTTTCACTAATTAGAGCTGTCACCTGATTCTTGGAAATATTCTGCTGCCCTTAGTCAAGAGCCAGTATTTTTGCACTGACTCTCCAAATCCATTTCCTAAAATGTAACAAAACTCTGTAGGCAGCACAGCTGGGAGACAGATCTTTCAGAGCAAGGTGCAGGCAAATTCAAGGGAAGAGTCAGCTAAACAGTCCACTCATTTCTTACCAAAAACCGAACAGCTCCATATGGGGACAGTCAGCATGCATGTTACATACCTCTCCTGGCAAAGATTCAACACTAAAGAATCATTTCAGGATTTTAACTCTGCAAAGACTTAACTTACCAACTCAAAGCAATTCTCTGAACTTCCCTTCCTTCAAGCTAAGGATAAAAAGAAAACTGATGTCTCACATACTCGGTTGTTTTTTTGTTTGATTTTTTTTATGCAAAAAAAAATTGTTATCCTTTTTCTTGCAATTCCTGGCTAAATAGGATCCTAAAACACACAAAAAAGGAGTAACAATAGGATTTTTTGCTTTAATGTGATTGTAAAATTATAAAAGTTGGATAGGGAGCTTTGTTCTTGATGATACTTTTAGCCCATTTTCCAATGACTAAATTTCAAATTTATTTTGTCCATAGGTGTCAAAGCTCCTGAGATGTTGCTTGTGAAACACGTGCCTCAAGAACAATCAGTAGCTTATTGAAACACTCTTGACACTAGTGCCTGCCAGTCCTCTACAACAACTTCAACAGTTTTCCTTTTATCCAGAGACAATAATCATTGTCATCCAGCTCATTCTAGATGTCACCTCTAAGAAAGTGGAGGAAAAGAAGGTTATCAGGAGTAGTCAACATGGATTCACCAAGGGGAAATCATGCTTGGCCAATCTGAGTCTTCTATGATGGCATGACTGGCTGGGTAGATGAGAGGAGAGCAGTGATGTCGTCTACCTCAACATCAGCAAGGCTTTTGACGCTGTCTCCCATAACATCCTCACAGGTGAGCTCAGGAAGTGTGGACTAGATGAGTGGTCAGGGAGGTGGACTGAGAACTGGCTGAATGGCAGAGCTCAGAGGGTTGTGATCACCGGCACAGAGTCTAGCTGGAAGCCAACAGCTAGTGGTGCTCCCCATGGGTCAGCACTTGGCCCAGTCTTGTTCAATCTCTTCATCAATGACCTGGATGAAGGGACAGAGTGTACCCTCAGCAAGCTTGCTGACAATACAAAACTGGGAGGAGTGGCTGATACACCAGAAGGCTGTGCTGCCATTCAGCATCACCTGGACAGCCTGGAGAGTTGGGCACAGAGGAACCTGATGAGGTTCAACAAGGGCAAGTGCAGGGCCTTGCACCTGGGGAGGAACAACCCCATGCACCAGTACAGGCTTGGGGCTGACCTGCTGCAGAGCAGCTCTGTGGAGAGGGACCTGGGTGTCCTGGTGGACGACA